GCTTAGCCTTGGGTTATTGTTGACTTCTCTATAAGCATTGGTTGCTTATGGAAGTTATACCTTTAGTCGTTCCACTACATTAGCACGGCGTGATTGGACTTTTCCCATATGCATCTTAAGCAAGACGCAGTACGAGTGACTCGTCGCTTCAGTCGAAGTAAACCTGAGAATCCTGTGGCGAGCGCCCGCTTATATAGCCAGATGCCCCGCCCATTCTGGCTGGCTTTGGAGGGCTTCGTCGCCATAGGCTCGTGCAGCTCCGCTGCCGCGCCATTGGTTCGTTTTTAAAGCCCTGCACGAACCAATATGCTTCAGTTCAGGAGAAAAAAAGGCTTTTTTCCATATGCGTCTTAAGCAAGACGCAGTACTCGTTCCCGTATCTCAGGGAACCGAGGTTACGTTAGTAACCGAGAACGTTTTTTCTTATCAGTTTTGTATATTAGGGTTGTATGTTGCATTATTTCAGTTTCATGTGTGTTACCATGATGGTGTTTAGTGTTTGTGTGAATGACACTGTGCACCTTCTATATATGTTATTATTTAAAAGCTGCTTGTGATGGGCTTTGGTTCATCATGTGATTTTTTCATCACCACCACAATCATTCCTTCATCTGCATTTGGTGGTTATCAGTGTATTACAAAGGTACAAAACAGATTTCAGTACTTCAATAGGTTGGTATATTAACATTATATCGGTTAATGAAATTATGGTATTTAACTGAAAATTTAAGTTAAAACCGTAAAACCTAAAATGTTGCTACTGTATTTTTTACGGTAAAATTCCGGCAACCACAGCTGCCATTTTTTTACCGTAAATTTTACGGATTTTTTTTTTTACAGTGTAGGTCACACAACAATGACAGCATGCGGATGTAGTATGTCAGGATTAATACTACACAGATTTATACTATGTAAAACATGCTTTTTAATGGTCACAAAGTAATTACTTAATCAAAAGAAGCACCTGCTTAGAGAGTATGTGATTTTGGGCGCAGCCCATCACTTGTGTACAAGTGTATCCTCCCAAAAGAGTCATTTAAATATCCCCAAATACGGGAAAAAAGCAGAGTGATACAAACTGTGAAAAGTCTCAGTGTTTGTATTGGCTGCTGAGGCAATGAATTTGGAATATTTTCTTATAATGTGTAGGCTAATGGAATCTTGTAACACAATTTTAAAAGTAAAAAAAAAATCCCCATCATCACCACAGACAATATGCAATGTAGTCAGGCTTTGCATATTGTCAAAGGTTATCAGCTTTTATGTTCAAAGCACAAGTTATTCAAATAAATATCCTTAAAAAAGGAATTTCAACAACACATTTCCAGAGATGCCATCCTTTCAGAATAACTGAAGATACGGTTGTGCAGCAGACATTCCTATGAGTACAGATAATCCCAAATCTGTGAGCTGAGACCAGTCCTGCTAAAATATTTCAAGTGAAGGTTGAGATAATAAAAACTCGCTGGCTTTTGCAGGGATTCTCACGCTGGTTCACAGTTATCGTTATATATGCAAAGGAGACTCCTCATACATAAACAACATTCTGTTCTGTGCAGCGCAGAGACTTGTGTTTGTGTCAGCAGCAGTGTAAATCAAAGGGAATCTCTGGCTCTTAACCTGCACAGACCTCAGTATGAAGTCATGGGACACCCATCATTCGCTCTGCCCTCTGGGGAACTGTAAATCAGGCACTAATGTGAATGTACGATGTCAGTTTTCACAGAATGTATTTTTTTTCTCCTAACAAGGCCAACTTGGAAAAAGTCCACTCCTTTTACACTTGTTTTCTCTCCCATTCTTTCCCTCATTGTTCTTATATTGTCATCTGACCCTCATAAAAGACATTCTTCTAATACTACAGACTTTGTAAAGTGTTGTTTTTAGATATGTTTGACTGGAACGGGTGAAATTATACTTAAAACGTGCTGTGAAAGAGGGACTAGTATATCACAGAGATTTCAGTGAGGGCTTTTTAATGATACTTTGGACCAACAAAATACTCTTAATTTGTTACAGCCAATTTTAGTAGTTTTTCTTAAATTATATTTATGGTTTGCTTCAAAGCTTAAGTTTTGATTTAATAATAATCCAAAAATATTTATTTTCCCAAAAACAAAAACATTCATGCAAAGTAAAACAATGTGTTATTATTAAGACCATGCTATACTTAATACAGTTTTTCTTTAGACATAAGCCAAAATCTTATTTAATGTATTTCAATATCATTTTAACTTTAGACTACTTAATTTCACCATGAACAAAAACTAAATCAGCTATAATATGAAAGTCGAGTTTTCACTTAAAGGGACAGTTCACCCAAAAATTTAAATTCTGTCATTATTTGCTTACTCAGTTATTCTGAGCCTGCAAGAATTTCTGGCAGGTGTTGAAAACAAAAGGAGATATTTTGAAGAATGCTGGTAACCAAACAGTTGACGGTACCCACTGATTTCCATAGTATGGCAAAAAAAAATATTATGGAAGTCATTGGCTACCATCAACTGTTTGGTTACCAGCATTATTCAAAATATCTTCTTTTGTGTTCAGCAGAAGAAAGAAACTCATACAGGTTTAGAACAATTGGAGGGTTAATAAATGACGACAAAAAAATGTATTTTGGGGTGAACTATACCTTTAAGAAAAACTAAAAACTTTTTTAATTAATCAATGTTTTATTTAGTTTATTTGCTATAAATAAAGACAAATTGAAAGATCTTATTATTTATTGTGATATCTTTTTAACATGTGGATCATTTTCTGTTAAAGTACTAAAAGAAAAAAAAAGAAAAAAAAACACCATAAAAACGAATAAAACCCACAATAATTTTTGCCATAGCTAAAGCTATAGCTAGTGTGTGTTATTTGCTTTTACAAAATAGGTTCAAACCATAAATTGTGGTTTTCAGTTAGACCAATATAAAAATGCACTTTAAATAAATGACATGTTTGATTCATTTTTTTCTAGCTACCCTTATCACCTAGCAATGATTCAAAACCTCCTAGCAATCACGTAGCAATGCTCTAAGAACCACTCATCTTAGCAACCTCATAGCATGACTCTGGCAACTGCCCTGGCATCATGCGAGCAGGTTTTGAACAGGCAAGTACCACTCTGAAAAAAGAAATGGAGAGAAAAAAAGGTAAAAATACTTCTAGCTATTCCAATATTTTTTCATTATTCCACCTGTCCATGCATCTCCTATTTACAGCATCTGTGAATAATCAATCAAGTCATCAATGAATGCTTTTGGTTTTGTTCAGTGTTTTGCATCATGCACAGGTGTTTGAGGTTGTGTGTTTTCTTGCAGTTATGTTCAGATGAGTGAAAGAGACTGTACTTGTATGTACTTGAGTATGATTGGCGTCTGCCTGGGGCGGCAGATGCTGGGTGGATGCCGATGCAGAAAACTCATTACACTAGTGGGGAATGGAGAATATTGTAATTTCCTAACATTCAGCCAACTGCAATTACTTACCACATGACTTGTGAGTTTTCTGACTTTTAAATGGCACACTGTCAAGCCATGTGTCTTCTTGAAAGACTGTCATTTTGACTGGCCAAGTGTAGATTTAATATAATTGCCATCACTGTTGGTTTTGTACCTGGTTAATTGTAAATTGAATGTCTAATGCAGTTTAAAAAAGGGCCATTTCCCAATTAATCCCTCAGCTGAAGTTCCACCGAACACCCTAAACCAGACCAGAGTGGTTTCTGTCAAAGTGAATCAACGGTCATTCTAATAACAAGCAAAAGCAGAAAAGGTAAAGTGAGTATGATGGGCACATTTATGCTTGTTTCAGTCAGAATGAGAGATTTTTTTATGTGCTCAACAGAATACAGTACATTCTGGAAGTCCTCTAACGACTTGAGCCTGACTTGAGGAGAGAACAGGCCTCGACTCCTTCCCCTCCACACATCAGTACCCTGAGAGCCGGAATCACTGCAGGACATAAAGGCCACGGCACATTCAGACATGATGGATTCTCTCTCTCGTCAGAGTGACAAATGGAGCCAAAAATGCCTAATGATTCCATAGAGAATTGCATAAAACAAACTATTTTGTAAGGCATACAAAAATATGTGTGGTTGGGGTTCATTTGTCAGTTTTTGTTTTCTTTGTCAACTTATTATTTATTAGATGCTAAATTACTTAGCTAAATGAAATACATGCAGCATGAAAATGCATATCTGTAAGGTATTTAAAAGCAAAAACAAACATTTACAAACATTATTATATTATATTATATTATATTATATTATGCTTGACAGATCATTAGTTCATTAATATGGTCCAATGATGTAATGCTGAGATCTATCTAAAAAAATCAAAATAAACAAACAGAAATATGATTTATATATATATATATATATATATATATATATATATATATATATATATATATATATATATATATATATATATATATATATATATATATATATATATATATATATATATATATATATATATATATATATATATATATATATATATATATATATATATATATATATATATATATATATATATATATATATATATATATATATATATATATATATATATATATATATATATATATATATATATATATATATATATATATATATATATATATATATATATATATATATATATATATATATATATATATATATATATATATATATATATATATATATATATATATATATATATATATATATATATATATATATATATATATATATATATATATATATATATATATATATATATATATATATATATGGATGCATTTTTGTAACTATACAGAGAGAGTTTAGGTGGACATTTTATATTTGTATTTTTATATTTATTTTATTATAATCCTATGTTATGTAAATAAATATGTTTAATGACTTTACCAAAGAAACAGGCTGGAACTTTTTTGTAGCATAAAATTAATTGACCTATTATGCTCATGACACGTAACTGTTTAATATTATAAATAATTGTGTAATATTATCATTCATATTTATTACATAAACTACATAAACAAAATTCTGTCCAAAAGCACCATCCTCAGTTCATCCTTTTTGAATAAAACTGCATCCACTCTGATGAATGGATATGCTCCAAAAACCATAAGAGCACGACCTGCATGGGCTAAGAGAGAACAATACTTTATCAAGATCACATTTCATTAGGAGAGTGAAAAGTAAATGCAACAGTCCCAGGATTAGATCTTCTCTCTCTTTCTCTCTCTCTCTCCCTGCAGCAATTTCTGAAGATCTTTTCCTTTGTTCAGTGTCTTGCAGATGTGTTTGGACTGGAAATGTGCTTTTACTCTCATAACAACAGGCTTGAGAGGACAGATTAGGGTGAATAAGTCCATAGTGAATCGCTTAGCTGTTCTGTTATCAGCCCTGTTTTGTGTTTAATATTTGTCTTCAATTATGTCAGTGTGTGTGTGTGTGTGTGCGTGTGTGTGTGATTGATCAATACACTTTGTTACCTAGAAATCGGACTGTGGACCTTTTAAGCAGGCACAAGAAAATGTTCAATATGGATCTTTAAAAAAAAAAAACTGAGGTCCTCTTTACCACTGCTAAAAGCAATCATTTAGAAATACATCTGGATGGCTTGACTAAATTAGTTTCCCCCGAACTAACTGAATCAGAAATTAATGCAAATCAATGAAATGATAAATGAAACATTCACTCTGTAAAGATAAAAAGTATATATTGTATATATTTGACTCAAATCTGTTTTTTTGTAATACCCTGTACATACACATCTATACATACAAATATATAAGAAATTCAGTTCCACAAGCAGTCCAAATTCAAAATACTGGAGAGAGTTGTTTCTCCTGCACCCTCCTTCTCTGACTCGACGCTCACGCGGGTTGCCAGATTGAGAACGTGTGCAACTGACAATGGAAGACGACAAGCCTTACACTTTAAGCTGATGAGTTTATTTATCAGCGTTTTAGTCATAGAGCTTTTTAGATGAATGCCGAGGCTTTTTAATTAAGTCGTTTGCTGCCTTCCATGGCAATACGCTGTGTTTTCCGCCAACTGGCAACATGGGGGGGTTGAAATACTATTGGATAAATTGGCAGTGGGTGGAATCACACAGACCAACAAAAACAGACATTCTGACACGAAACGCACATTTCAAAGTAGAATACCTGGTTGTAGCGTTGTTTTTTAGGGAAACAAGTATGTGAACTTAGCATGTTTCCTAAATATCTGCAATCACATTATGGTATTTTAATGCTTTAGTACAGTCTAAAAACTTACATACAGTACCTTTAAGCCAAATAAGATGGAGACATGTGTACAGCATAGTAAGAAAGACCAACAGAATCAGTTAAGCTCACCTTAAACTGAGACAAAGCCATTTGCCCCTGACCTCACTGTTGAACAGGTCACCCCTGCACTCCATTACTGTGTTTCACAGAAAGGCCTCCAACAACTCACACAATTACCATGAGCTTATCAAGGGCATCGGGCGAGATGGGCAAAGGACAAAACAGCTACAACAAACCACAGTAAACAACAGTGGAGCAAGAACAGTACTAAGTAATGGCCAGAGAAGCAGCTGAGGTGGTACGTTATCAGCTACTGATCACATCTTTATGTCCTATAATGATTTAATTTTATCACCTTTTTTGTATTTTATTTATTTATTTGTTTGTTTGTTTTATGTTTTGTTTATTTATTTGCTTATTATTTATTTATTCTGGATATTAAAAGTGCTAAATGGGGAATTTGGACACAGATTAATTTAGATTTGCATGGTGTTTTTATTTTAAGAAACAGGGCAGAAGGCCCACAGTAGGATGTTGTTTTTATTATTTAATAATAATTATTATATTTCAGGTATTTTCTAATATAATGTTTCTATTAATTAGTGAATTTATCATATAATAATCCATATATTGACATAGAATATTTTACATGTAATGACACATTAAAAACATTAAAAATTACAAATAATACTGTAAATTAAAACTATTGATTTGAATGGCAAAGTACTTAAGTGTGTTAAGAAATATAGTCATAAAAGTGTACTCTCTTTAAGCACACTTAAGTGGCCTTCCGTTTCAAGAATTATTATAATATCTGCAAGTACAGTTTTATTTAAAAATACACTTTTAAGATTTGAAGTGCACTACGAATGGACATGCAATACAATTAAGCAAGCTTCATTTTCACAAGGCCAATGTCAAGCCAGCATTAATTAGCATAAACCAGCATGGAAGTCCTGGTCTAAACTAATCTTTTTGTCATGTCCTGCGGGATGCAGATTGAGGTTCAGGGTCAGCTGTAGAACAGAGTCGTAGGCCCAAAATCGAGATTTTGATTAAATCCTTTGACATCATTCCAATTTTATTATGAGATTTTCCTGATTGCCTATCAAAGCTCAATCTTGAAAGACGACAACAGTCTTTGTTCGGGTTCGGATGTAGCTTTTCCTGCAACTAGAGACAAGTGGAAAATGGCAATTCAGTCCTGTAATATACACAGCCAGTGACTTTGACACAAATAATTTATCATGGCAGTTTTTGTGGTCGGCACAACTGTCTCTTCATGACTCATTCAGAAGGTCGGGGGGAGGAGAAAAAGAGCATAACGTCTTCGATTTATTATTGTGAAGGGTGAGAGTTATGCCTCTCTATGAAAGTGCCCGAGGAGACAGAGCGTTGAGCTCTGACAAGTGTTGGTTGTAGCCTTATAGGATTATTCTCTGTGGCTGAGAATTGAACACGCGGCAGTGCACGGTGAGAGGCAAAGACAAAATTGCTCTTGTCAGGGTCAGCCAGCTGTCAAGACACCATCCAGACCTGATTAATAGAGTCCAGCAGTAAGCCGGCCCGCAGGAGTACTCAGACAACCAGGACCGAGCGCTGCACTGCTACAGCTAAATTCGATAGCGTCTGAACCACAGGTAAATTGGATCTGCCAACATTGCTGTGCAGTTACAACATGCTAAATTAGACGCTTTATCTGTGAGAACAAAATCCAAAGCTCCCAGTGAAATAATTGATCATACTGTAGGGCACGGGCTAATTCGATTCTCAGAGGTGCAAACTTTTTTGATTTTGAACACTAAGAGCTGAAGATACGTTTATGATGACACACTATGAGATAATAAGCTCTGGTGGACTAGAAAAGCTTTAGAATAGGGATGCTCCCAAAGCTGAATACCTTATACTGAAAGGCATGAATAATAATTCTACCAAATAACAAAAACTAAATTTTACAAATAACAAAAACAAAATTTTTATATTTGATGTGTAGGTGTGGTGATCAATGTTTATATGTGAATAAAGTCCTAAATTACATATATAACATATATAATTCATCATATGTCCATCATATAAAGCAATTGTGTCTTCTCAGAAGATGTGTATTAAACCATTAGATTCATATGGATTACTTTTATGATGACTTTATGACTTTTATAAGCATCAAAGTTTTGGTTGTGTGGACTTTCAATTTCATTTTTGGCATTCTTAGGGAACACTGGGATTCTCAAGTCTCTGGAAAGTTATTGCAATTCATGAAAGATTTTGAAGATAGGATAGGGCCAGAAACATGTATTAAGGGAGTAGTTTTTTCTTAAAATGAAAATGTGATGAAAATGTACTCACCCTCATCCATGATGTAGATAAGTTTGCTTCCTCATCAGAACAGATTTGGAAAAATGTAGCATTACATCACTTGCTCACCAGTGGATGCTCTGCAGTGAATGGGTGCCGTCAGAATGAGAGTCCAAACAGCTGATAAAAACAACACAATAATCCACAAGTAATCCACACCACTCCAATCCATCAGTTAACGTGTTCTGAAGTGAAAAACTGCATGATTGTAAGAAACAAACCCATCACTAAGGTGTTTTAATTTTAAACTGTCGCTTTTAGCCAAAATATAGTCCATAATCCATATTAATGCTTCCTCCAGTGAAAAAGTCCATCCCCTGATGTCCTCTCACATTAAAACCTACCAATATACTTGATTAGAACTGTTTTTGGACGGGTTTTTTTTTTTGTTTTTTTTTTGCTTGTAATCAGTGCTTGATCTGTGCATATTTCTCTCCTGATTCAGATGAGATGGCTTTTTCACTGGAGAAATCAACATTATGCATTTAGGACTTGTATTTAAGCAGAAAAAAATGGTTTGAAGTTAAAATATCTTGATGGATTTGTTTATTAAAACATGCAGCCTTTCACTTCAAATGATGTTAATTGCTGTGGTGTGGATTATTATGATGTTTTTTATCAGCTGTTTGGGCTCTCATTCTGACGGCACCCATTCACTGCAGAGCATCCATTGGTGAGCAAGTGATGTAATGCTAAATTTCTCCAAATCTGCTCTTATGAAGAAACAAACTCATCTGCATCTTGGATAGCCTGAGGGTAAGTACATTTTCAGCAAAATTTCAATTTTGGGTGAACTATTACTTTAAAGAAATATTAGGTTCAGTTTAAGTTATATCCATTTAACAGTATTTGTGACATGATGATTACCAGAAATATTCATTTTGATTACTCACTCCTTTTCTTTAAAAAAAGCAAAAAAATCTAGGTTACTTACAATATTAATCCTCAGTGAAAAAGACATTTATGAATAAGAAGTGTGCTTAATTCTATTGAATGCGAACATGTAGTTTACTGCTGTTGATTGAGTTGAACTTGTATATTCACAGAAGTAAATAGGTTTAATTTTGATTCCATGTTGAGTGTTAAATACATACATTTACTGAAAGCAATGAAAGATTCATGCACAAATGCATAATTCAGGAAGAAAAACAAAAACAGAAAAAGCACACCATCTAGGATCCTATGGAATAATATTTAACACACTGTGAATATGGGATGCATTAATCAGCAGTGAATTAGGATGCATCCTTCCTGAGTGGAGCTCAGACTGACCTCTACCAGACCAACCAGTCAGCATGGAAACCAACCACCTCAGCTGTGCGCTATTTAGAGTCATCGTGTGCAGATCATCCACTCCCTGGCACCCGCTCCCGCTCCAGAGAACACCGCATGACACCGCTCTCCGCTCATACACCTGCTTGACTTACTAGCAAAAGCACAATATTTACTGAGTGAATATCTCATACTCACGTTCACAGCAATAAAACACCAAACACAAGAGTGAGAGACTCGGTGGCTCTGTAAATGCAGTCATTGAATGTGTGCGCAAAGTCAAATAGTTTTTTCTCTCTGGATCAAAGAACAAACTTTCCATATATGTCCAATCACAGAGTCATTCAAAGGCTGTTCCAGTATTTTGGAACAATGCCAGGGGCCGACTCCATCAAAAACAAATTACACCTCACAATGTGATGTATTACTCTGGCAGGCGGCTCAAGGGACAGAGAGCAATGAACCGACAACAATCTGGAAAAAAACATTTATCACACGATGGGTGACTGGGAAGAACTATTCTATGGTCGGCTTTTCCTGGGCTGCATCCCAAGTCACATTCTTCAACAGCACAACAGAAGCTTGTAATTGGTGGTGGGAAAGCACATACTTTTAAGCATGTATAGTAGTACAACAGTATGGCAGTATTGGGACATATATTTCATATTTTAATTTTATAATAAAAATGTTGTGGACATCTTGAAACGTCATGAAACATCACAAACTCTGTGTTGTGGGCAATATTAAGCCTACCATTGTGAGAAACAAATACAGTTTAGCATACTTTAAAAAAAGAGTATTTATTATGGAATAATATACATTATAAAAATATACTATATTATAGTTCAAATGTATATTAACTTAAGTAGGACTTCTTTATATTTTTTTATGTAATAGGACATCTTTATAATTTCATAATTACTCCTTTGTTTTTGGAATATGGTTAAAGTGTAACTGCTGAATTAACTGATAAGCATTTATGGTTAAACTAAAATACACTTCAATGTCATTTCTATTAAACTTGTATGTCATGTATGTAAATATATTTATAATTACAAATGCATTTTTAATAATGAAGTTGCAATTTAGTACATTTTAAATGTTCTAACTTTAAATGTAATATTGAATAACATAACACAGATACCAGACCAACACTGATTCAACATTGAATTAATGCTGAAATCAACACTGAATCAATGTTGAAATTTAACATTGATTTTCATCACGTTTGCACCCTGAAATAATGTTATTTGAACAAAGAAAAATCGATCAAGATGGACATAAAAATCGATATTTGTTCAACTTACATGGTCTCTGATTGAAAGAAGTCAAAACAGACATGACTTACTATCAAAGAATCCTGCTGTATAAAGTAAAACTGATTTAATACTGCAATGTTGATTCAATGTAAAATAAATTATTTAAAGTTGTACTCTATTTTCCATCATTGAAATAACATTATTTCAGGGTGCAAACTTGATTAAAAAAAATCTATGTTACATTTCAACATTGATTCAGTGTTGGTCTGCTATCTTTACGTGTGATTTATCAAAATAAATGTACTTATTTAAAGCATGACAAAAGATTATTAAAACAATGATTTAAAATCTACTTTAAAGTAAAACTTTTAATTTAACGTTACAACTTAAAAATGTAATTAAGTGTATTTAGAAACGTAGTCATGAAAGATGGGCTTTTATTTGATTAATACTGTCATATGATCTGCAAGTAAATGTTTTTTTTATTATTACACGTTTAAGATTTGAAGTACACTATAAGTGCACATTCAATACAATTACAATTTTTCACAAGGGAAGAGGACAGATGGATACGTATAAAATCGTTCAGAAACAGCATAACATCTGGCCACTTTTGACTTTTTTAAAGCTTTATGACATCAACAATTATGTTAATAACCCAAAGCATAGGATTTTAGACTTTCACACTAAGATATCATTTTGTATTGGAAAAATGAGTCCAAATGTAAAGTCTGGCAGGCACATTGATGTATGTAATTGCTGTGGAAATCTATTAGTGCACCTGCCTTTATGTATCATGTTTGCCCCTTAATCACTTCCCATAAAGTGCCCTTGGGAAATCCTGTGAAATCCACAAGCAGACATGCTCTCTACACAGCAATGTCTTGAGCGAATCTGTATATCAAGACGACATTGATCCAGTGCCAGTCAGTTTAATTGAATATACAGCTGGAGACAGCAGCCATGACACTCATATCCAGTATGTACTAGCCGCGTTCTGACATGTACTATAGTTCATTTCACAGCGAGGGGAGAATCGGTTTTGACGTTTGCAACCTCCATGATCTGGCTGAATGAAAATATATTTATCATTCAGAAAGAAAATTGACAAATGAGATGATTTCAATATCTCCACTGTTTCTCAGACAGCCATGAGATTAAATGAAGAGACCTAATAATATCACGTGTATCTCCTGTACAGTTTCAGAAAGATGTCAACAATGTCTCAAACTGCGCTCAGATTTGCAAAAATACAGAAGCCAGAAATCTCAGTATAAACTGAAAATTTTCATAAATATACATAATTGTTTCTATAAATACAGTAGGCTCTCTCTCTCTCTATATATATATATATATATATTCACAATTTC